GAGTCTGCTTTTTGCTCTAGCTGATCAGTGGTGACAATTCTGTCTTCAATTTTACTGGTTCTGTATTCCCTCTCTTCAACTCTGCTCATGTGTCCCTCCATCATGTTGATAGCCTCTGAAACATTGGACCTTATATTTTGGTTACTGGTTTCTTGTTTTTTCTAGTGCCGCTAATGCCTCACATGTTTTCTCTGCATTGTTCTGGATTTTTTTTTAGCTCCTCCTAGTGTTTTGCTTATAGTATCCTGTAATTCTTCAAGTTTTCCTTTTATCCATTGAATTTATTCAGTCATTCTTCTTTTATATTCTGTGTCAGAAAGTTCCATTAGACTTTCTGGCTTTAAGAAATCCACTGATACTGTGTCACCCTTTGGGGGTGACATCTTGCTTTGCATTTGTGTGGGATAGCTTGCTTTCTTCAAGACATCCATATTTTCTTGATCTGAAGACAATGCTCTGGAGATCAGCTGGGCAGCTACCCCACTTGTGTGTTTCTCAGAACTTCTGACTTCAGGGAAATGTCAGTTCAGACCAACCTCTTGTTAGTAAAACAGGTCAAGGTGCTTCTGATTAAAGGCAAGCTGATTGACTGGACATGTAGGCACTGGTGTGGAGCCAAATGGGGTGAGGCAGGCATGGGATTAGAGTGATTGCAAGGGCAGGTCAAACAGTTGGGGGACCTCACTTGCACATCTCCCACCCAGTGGTTTTCACTCAGTGGTCCCTGCTCAGTGGCACTTATGCAGGTGCCCTCACACAGCAGCCCCTGACCAAGCAGGGTCCTGGGTCCAATAGGACCCAAAAAGTCAAAGTCAAATTCCCACCAACCCACTCATATCTGGCTGGTCTGCAGAGTCCACAAAAGTTCAGACAGATTACCACTGGCTGGCTTGTTCCTGGGCAGGGGTATAGCACAAGAGAGCTCAGCCAAGTTCCCCACCAGTGGGCTTGCCTTTGCATGCTCTTCCAGGTAATCAGCAGTGCCCCAGAAAACCCAGTCAGGATCCCACTGGCCTTTCTCTTGACAGATTAGTCCCAAAGCAGCTCGGCTGGTGGCTTTGGGTGATGACTGGATCCGGGGCATGGCTTTGTGTTCCTGTAGCTCCAAAAGGAACTGCTCCAACAAAAGTTCTGATTTTAAATCCTACTGTCCGCAGCTCACCATGTTGGTTGATCTCTGTGTGGCATGAAGGACTCTCTAGTGGTCCTTAAGTGCCACCCCATAGAATTTCTTGTAGAGTTGGTCTTGTTTTCACAAATACCTTGAATTCTGTATTCCTGTAGATTACCTAATTTTTCATTCATATTTGATGGAGAGCTTTGCTGTGTACAGGAGCTTAGGCTGGCAGGTTTTCTTCTCTCAAACTTCTGTGTATGCTATTCTAAAGCCTTCTTGCTCACATGGTTTCTACTGAGAACACAAAACTTAATCTAATTCATTCTCCTTTATAGGTAACTCTTTGTTTTTCTCATGCTGCTTTTAGTATTGTTTCCTTATCTTAGATTTTCATTAATTTGACTGTGATGTTTTTATGGATTTTCTTTTGCAGTTTAGTCTATTTGGGGCTTGCTGAGTTTCTTGACTGTGGATTTCCTTATTCTTTTTAAGGGCTGGGAAATTTTCTTCTAGACCTTTTCCATAATTTTCTCAGTGTTTTCCCTGCTCCCCTTGTTTCCTGAAATTGCAATCATAAGTACATTGTTCCTTGTGATGTTATGTCATGTGATTCTAATGTTTTCCTTATTTTTCTTCCATCTCCTCTCTGTTGTTGTTTTTTTTTTCTTGTATGTTCGCATTAAGGTTCTTATCTTCCAGCTCACTGACTCTCTATTCTACCTCTTACGGTTTTTTTCCCCTTTTTTGCTATTCCAGCATGTTGGAAACGTCTACCATTTCAGTCTTGATATTATTTAATACCATTTCATGCATTTCTATTTTTCCACTACTGTGTTGGCTGTACCTTCCATGTCTTGTGTAAGTTTATAAGTTCTTGTACACATTTATCTATAGTTTCAATTCTTTCTTCCTTCCATCTTTCTCAATTTCTTCCATAGTTGTTCATATTCCTCCACATCAATATATTTTTTTCTGGTTTCCTGACCCTGGAGTATTCTCTTTATCTGTGGCTTCCATTCTTCCTTCCATCATTTGTACCTTCTTCTACAGCTGTTCATATGACTCCATGTCAATATATTTCTTCTGCACTTCTGTCTCTGGAGTATTCACTGGGTCTGATTTTTTTAGAAGAGGGCTTGTTTTGCTTTTTTCACAATGTTTGAAACTGCCCACTGCTTTCTTGACATTTTGTGATGGTTTTTGTGGTATGTGATAGCTAATTTCTAATGTATGTAAGTGGGTTATTAACAGTTCTTTATTTTTATGATGCAATGGATTAGTTGCAGAAAAAATGTTCTCTTTATGGGTGGAGGACAACTCACTATACCAGGAGTACTTTCTGGTCCTGCACAGTGAAAAAGTGTACCATTTCTAAAGTCCTTCCATTTTTTTCTGGACTGCAGTGCAACCCTGCAGGCATATCACCTGAGATTCTCTAAAATTTGTAATTGGCCTTGATGGACTACAGTGTTGCCTGAGACCAATTTCCCCTGGCTATTGCTTTCTCTCTGGTAAAGGGTAAGGTGGGCAAGGCCCAAACGCTCTCTGCTTCTGCCCTCTCAGTCTCCAACAACCTGTTGGGAATCTCTCCTGCCTACACTTGCCCCTTCTAAAGTTTTTAATTGGTTTTGTTTCTTGTTTATTTTTCTTTATTTTATATTTATGTATTTACAAAGTTTGAATTGCCCTTGGTGATGCTGATGCACAGGGCAGTAGGAGACCCCTTTCTGTCTGGCTCCTACACTCTCTCTATCCAGTGTGGGGATTATGGCAGCAAGACTACCACATACCTTTATGCAGCTGCCTTCTCAGTTACCCTTTAGCTTGTTGGGAATCTCTCTTGCCTGCATCCACCTCTTTTTAAGTTTGTAATTGTCCTTGGAGATACTAGTGCACAGGGCAGTGGGAGACCACCTTCTTCTTGACTGTTGCACTCTCTCTATCTGGGGTGAAGGTGATGGAAACAAGGCCCTGACCCTTTATGCTGCTGACCTCTCAGGTCACCAGTCAGTGATTTTAGTTATGCTGATCTGATTTCAAGTCATCGTCTGTCATTCATCCAACGCCATCATAGATCAAATGCATTACCATGTTGGCTGAACGAAAAATGGTAATTTGAATTCTGACTAGCATAAAAATTGTGCATGCTGCATTCACAGATAATATGTCAGTAAATAAATATTATATGCCTCTTGGAGCTCTGATGGCCCAGTGGCAAGGACCTGTGATGCAATCCCAGAGGCACATGGTTTGAGGACATCAGCTTCTCTGCAGGAAAAGGATTGTGCAATTACCTGCCTCTGAAAACCTGCCGAAGGGTCAGTTATGGGTTGGTTCTGACTCCACAGATTACAACAACAAGAACATAGAGATTCCAATGTAGTTGAATGCTGTTATTGTTAATATGTATTGGCTCAGAACTGATGCCAGTTGAACCTCCACAGGTTTGCAGAGGCTGTAAATCACCCAGGAAAGAACTCAACTTTTACTCTTAAAGGAGATGGTGGATTTGAACCTTTGAGCAGACTCAATAATACTAATGCAAAAGTGAAAAAATACATTGCTGAGTAGAAGTTGGGGTAGCACTTTGAAGAAAAGGCATACTTCAGTGATATATTGTTATCCTAGTAAATTCACTGTACTGAGTCTCATCTTTCTTAACTGTAATATTTGGATCAGACAGAAGTTATATAGCTGTAGCAGTTAACTGTTGCTGTAGTCACTGTGTTAATCTACTTGGTTGAGAGTCTTCCTTTCTTTCCCATCCTTCCACTTTCCCAAGCCTGATGCAATGGGCTAATGTGCATCAGAGATGATGTGGATGGCACAAGATAGGACAGGGTTCAGATCTGTTATTCATAAAGTCACTATGAGTCATGCTTGGTTTGACAGCACCTAACAATAACAACAGTACTTAACCAAGATAACATTTTGGGGTCAAACTTAGCATATATTAGTTGTACAAGAAATCTGTGGTGCGTCTGCAACTGGCAAAGTGACCTTTCTGAAGGGTTTTAGGAGAAGAAGGATTTACTCTCATGAGTTTCAGAGTTTCTTTCAATTGCCTGTTTCATTTTGTGACTTGCAGTTCCAAGGAGGGCTTTGGATCAGTGGAGAAAGTCTTGCTGCTCATGTTTCTCTCAACCGTTATCTTGATGGCAATCTTGGGAAACTTGCTGGTGATGGTGGCTGTGTGCCGGGACCGGCAGCTCAGGTAAGGAGTATGAGGAAATCTGAGTGATGTCTTGGTCTGTCCCTCAGTAGGCAAGATTTAAACATTTCCTATATACTTTATAACTGTGGTGTGAATAAAATAAGTGCACTGTAACACTCTCTGGAAAGTAGAACAAGGAAAAGGAGATAAAAAAAATAACACTAACACAGCTAGTGTTAGCAACTGAAACTATTCTTACTCCACTTTGTTTCTATTTTTCTTTCTCTGTCTTTCAAAGAGTTGTTATGATTCTAAATACATTGCTAAGAAAACCACAATTGATCTACCTCCCCACATTATGCTTTGGAGAAAAGATGGTTTACTAAAAATTGATCCAGATTTAAACCTGAGTCTTCTAGTACTTTACCAGCTCTGAATCAGACTGAAATTAGAGTAGCAAGAGAGCTTTTAAAAATTATTAATGTGTGGAGACACACCATTGCTCTTCAGTACTTTAGGGACCTCTCTAAGGTACTGAAGAGCAATGGTGTGTCTCTGGAGACTAAGGTGCATCTGGTACAGGCCATGGTCTTTGCAATCATACATTATGCATCAGAGAACTGGACAATGACAAAGGAGGATAGAAGGAGAACTGATGCCTTTGAGCTTTGGTGTTGGAGAAGAGTATTGAGGGTACTGCGGACTGCTAAGAAAACAAACAGATTCATCCTGGAGAGGGTTAAACCAGGCTGCTCCTTGGAGGCAAGGATTCTGAGGCTTTGTCTAACATATTTCGGTCATGTTGTAAGGAGAGACCAGTCCTTGGAGAAGAACATCATGCTTGGGAGGGTGGAGGGCAGGCGCAGGAGGGGAAGGCCCTCTGGGAGGTGGATTGATTCAGTGACTGGGGCAATTTGGATGACTGTGTTGGAGACAATGAGATTGGCACATGACAGAGAAGAGTTTAGAGCTGTTGTACATAGGGTCGCTATGAGTTGCAAGAGACTCGACGGCACATAACAACAACAGTATCCAACACTCCCCTATTAGTTCACCATGGTATGATGACTCATGTGTTGCTATAATATGCTATCAGTACTTTCAATATCAGCAGAGTCGCCTATGATGGACAAGTTTCAACAGATCTTCTAGACCAAGAGAGACTATGAAGCAGGACTGGCTGCCCACTTCTGAAATAATAAGCCCTCAAATCCTCGTGCCAGAAGCTGAGTCCTTTGAGCTGAAAGCACTCACTCAAAATCCTACTCAGAAAGAGCTACCTCCTCAAAATTGATGCTACCTTAATGACAGATGGAATAGAGCTTTCACAACAAGAAGGACTTTAATTTGGTGATGGGCAAGACTTAATGTGCGCAGAAAAATAGCTGCAAAACTCCAATGATGATTGGAATATTAACTGTATGAAGTATGAATCTAGAAAAATTGAAAGTTGGAAAAATTAAATTAACACATAAAGATAACCATTCTAAGAATTCGTGAGCTGAAATGGACTGGTATTGACCATTTTGAATCAAACAATTATATGATCTACAATGTAAGACATTAAAAATTGTAAAGGAATGGTGTCACATTCATTGGGTTAAAAAACACACACACACACACAAAAAAAACACAAAAATCAACCAATCAAACCAAACACAACATTTTATGATCTGCCCTACAGTGCAATCAGTGACAGGATAATATCCATATGCATTCAGTGAAATCCTATTAATATGACTATTGCTCAGATACATTCACCAGCAACTAAAGACATGGATAAAGATATTGAAGATTTCTCCTGTGGTGGTATAATGAGTTCTGGTACCCTACTAGTAAGAAACTACATTACCATTCCAAAAGTATTCAGTGTGAATCCACCAGTTGCACCATGGGAGAAAGATGGGAAATCTTCACCCTTGGAATTTACAGCCTTTGAAACCTTGCTGAAGGATCATTTATGAGTCAGTTCCATTTTGACATGTGAGTACATACTTGGCACAGTCTGTAGAGAGCTGTGCTCCTAATACAAAGGCTACACTTCTCTAGCAGTTTGAATTTACCAGTGACTTCATGGGAGGAAGATGAATAATCTCCTCCCAAGCAATTTACAGCCACTCAAAAACACACAGGAGCATAAAAAAGGAGTCTGTTCCAGCTGCATAACAATGAATTTGTTTTGAATGACCAACTTCTGTATTCTGAAATGGACTGATTGTTCAATCAAGATTCACAAATAATAACTGATGACTAACATACAGAAGCTGGAAACAAAGAAAAATTCAACATAAGTCAAAGTCATTGCTAAGGAGTCAGAACTGACTCTTAACTGACCCTCCAGTGGGTTTTCAGAGGCTGTAAATTGCACGGGAGGAGATTACCCATCTTTGAGTGGCTGTCAGATTCAAACTGCTAGAGAACTTTAGTTTGGAGTGAGCAATGAAACTTCTTACCAGAAAGGCTAACAGAGTTCCCTAAAAGGATTGTTTGTTATATGCTATTGGTGACAGAAATGAGGTCAAGTTTCACAAAATAGAATTTTGTACAATCAATGATTTATTCTTTGCAAATACCTTATAAAAATACTAACATAAAAACCCCATTTTAAATATCAGTACAACACATGGACTTCACCTGATGGGCTGTACAAAATTCTGTCTGGAGAAAGAGAAGGTGGAGAAGCTTCCTATCAGCATTCAGAACAAAGCCAGTAACTGACTGCAGAACAGACCATCAAATACTCTTATGTAACCTCAAGTTGAAGCTGAAGAAAAGTAAAACAGGTCCTTGAGAACCAACATATGACCTTGAGTTTATCACACCTGAACTTAAAAGCATCTCAAGAGCAAATTTAATGCATTGAAGACTAATTACCAAAGACCAGGTAAGTTATGGGATGAAACCAAGGACATTATACAAGAAGAAGGTAAAAGCTCAGTAAAAGGTCAACCATAAATGTCAGAAGACACTCTGGAACTTGTTCTTGACCCTTAATAAGCTAAAGTGGAAGCAAGAAATGATGAAATAAGACAGCAGAAAAAATACTGCAAAGAGCAACGTAAGCAGACAAACACAGTATTATAACAAAATGTCCAAATTATTATAGCAGGAGGTGCAAAATTCTGGAGTTAGCTAACCAAAAGGAAAGAACACATCTAGCATCTCTCAAGCTGAAAGAATAATTATGCCAAAAAAGAGAGAATACATTGGACCAAAAAGAATTGGTCAATACTGAACCATTACAGGGAGTAGCATATGGTCAAGAACTATTACTGTTACAGGAAGGCCAAAGTACACTGGAGGTATTAATGAAAAGTAAAGCTACAGAAACTGACAGAATACCAGTTGAAGTTGTTCAACTAACATATGTGGCCCTGACTCACTAGTGTCTCCCAAGAAATTTGAGAGAGAGCTTCCTAGACAATTAACTGGAAGAGATCAATAATTGTACCTATTCCCCCCACAAAAGGTAATCCAGCAGAATGTGGAAATATCATTAATGTCAGACAAAAGAAATTTAAGCCAGCTCCAGATGAAACTGTGGAACAAGGGATTTTTCATTGATGATGTCAGAAGGGTGACTGAAAGCAGAGAATACCAGAAAGATGTTTATCTCTATTTTGTTTACTGTACAAAAGCATTTAACTGTGTGGCTATAACAAATTATATCCAACATTGAAAAGAATGGGACTCTCAAACACTTTGTTCATGCAAAATCTATATATAGACGAAGACGTAATTGCCTGAACAGAAAAAGAGAATATTGCATGGTTTAAAATTAGAAAAGACGTGCATCAGGGTTATATTATATCCTTTCACCATACATATTTATTATTTAGCATCAAGATTAGAAGACGGCTCATCAAGAACCTGCATTGTGTGAATGATACAGCTGGGCTTAAATAAAATGAAGAGTCGAAGCACTTACTGAACAAGATCATGGGCTACAGCTCTCAATATCAAATTTACCTTACCATAAAGAAAACAAAACGTTTCACAACTGGACCAACAGGCAATGTAATAGCTAAAATAAAGTTTGAAGTTATTAGACATTTAATTTTTTTTTAAATTTAGGTTATTTTTCATTTCAATGAACATCTACAGAGATTTTGGGATTCCATTCATTCATTGTTGCACCCTTCTCCCCGCACAAACCCCTCCCCCCT